CCCTCGGGGCAGCGAGCCTGGGGCCAGCGACCCTCGGGGGCAGGGCAGAACGTCCCCTGTCTGTTTCCAAGGCTGCCGCTCCTCATGGGAGGGCAGGGCCTCCTGTTTCTGCAGCCGAGTGTCTGGTGGTTTTAAAACGGTGGGTCCTGCAGGGTGGAGGGGCGACCCCTGTGGGTTTCCCAGACAGGGACTTTGGGAGCAGACAGCCTCATCTTCCTCCTGCAGGGCTGCTGGTGCTTCTGAATGGCTGACCTTGTGCGGGGCAGCCTGGTGCCCAAGCCTGTGTGCCTGCAGGGCTCCTTGAAGCCTCCCGGCAGCTCACACACCCGTATCTAAGTGCTTCCTGGGCACCACCTCCTAGGTGGATGGCACCCTTGCCCACGAGCGCCTCAGGTCACAGTGTGATTGGAGACACGTCCCCAGCCCAGCTCACCCACCTTCGGGCTTCTTCCAGTACACCTTGACCTGCAGCTGGCTGTCCTGGCAGAAGGGAGATCCAATCTCCAGAAGCCGCGCCGGCCGTCTTCCGGGGAGTGGGGGCTGGAGCGGAGTGGCCCCCTTGCTGGCTTTGCCGTGGGGTTCTTCTAGGACAGAGGCAAAGGGCATCCTTCTCAGTCTACACACACTGTCCACCACGCGTCATAAGGAGGGCACTTCTAGTCTGCACACACGGCCCACCATGCGTCAGAAGGAGGGCAGGTTTATGTAGTCTGTACACACTGTCCATCACGCATCAGAAGGAGGGCAGGTTTATGTAGTCTGTACACATGGCCCATCACGCATCAGAAGGAGGGCAGGTTTTTGTAGTCACACGGCCCATCACGCGTGAGAAGGAGGGCATTTCTAGTCTGCACACACTGTCTACCACGCATCAGAAGGAGGGCACTTGTAGTTTGCACACACTGTCCATCACACATCAGAAGGAGGGCAGGTTTTTGTAGTCACACGGCCCATCACGCGTGAGAAGGAGGGCATTTCTAGTCTGCACACACAGACCATCACGCATCAGAAGGAGGGCACTT